TTTCAAACCTCTCATTCGAAGCCTTTAACATGTGTTTTTGGATGGAGTGGACAGATAGAGGAAGTGCATTGCAACTGGGGTTGAATATTTGAATTCAGATGTTTAAAAGTTTCAGGTAATTCATTCCATGTTGTTTGTCCTATGTATTTAATGCTCCTTTGTCCAAATGTAGATTTAAATTGATTAGCTCTAAGATTGAATCTATAACGTGTCTTTTGACCATGAGTTAGGGCATTTGATATGAAGTAGTCATAGAATAGAGTTTGAGGAAATTCTTTAGGTCGTTTGAGACAATTAAATTCAAAAATACCAACATTTAGCTTATGAATATCTTCTAATTTAAGTATCTTAAATTGTAGAGAGGAATCGTCTGTTCTAACACTGTTTGTAATTAGTCATAAGAATCTTTTTTGCACTTTCAGAATTTGAAACAATAGAGCTTTTGATGTTTTACATTCAAAGCACATTAGTTCTAAACTATAATCTATATAATAAATTCTATCAAAATAAAAATAATAAAATAAATTAAGATGAATAGTAAATGTGCATTCACCTTGGATATGTATGCTGCATTGACTCGCTGACCTAGTGATTTTTTTATTTAATTTATCAAATATTTCAATTTCCCACCATTTTCAAATAAAAGGTCAGATTCATTAGAGATCGGACCATCCAGATTTTTCTCCTGGACAATCAGTAATGTCCTAATTTAGATGCTGATATAACACATATATCTTAGATATATTTTGAGACCAAATCAGGAGCACAGTTTGACCAAGAAATAAAGAAAATCAACAGGACAACCAAAGGATAACCAACTGTCTAGAACACAATACGTCTTAAAAACAACATCAAACTTTTTTATCCACTTCTTTTATTTTCTCCTCCATGAGATGACTTCTAAATGGGTATGTTAGCGTGAATCTTATTGAATCATTTGGACCCTCCTCCCCATCACTCAAAAAGTCTATTGTTACACTGGCATCCAATTCTTCTTCATCAGAGTCCCCATCTAATATCACGTCATTCCTTGTGTCTTCTTCAACATTGTCAGGTTGGTCAGTTTCTTCAATCTGTATGGGTTCTTCAATCCGTATGGGTTCTTCAACCTGTATGGGTTCTTCAGATACTTCAGCAGTTCCTTGATTTCCTGATTGACTAGGGCACACTCCTGTAATTTATGTATTGTTAGATAACGAATGAAAAAAATGAAAACAGAACACTAACCTCAAAGTAATATCAGCTTTACATGTGAATGAGACTCCATTGGATAGACAATTCACTATAACTGTAACAAAAATGCAATTTTATATTTTATGGTATCTGACTTTACCGTTGTAGGGCTATTTCGATGTGTGTATCTTGGTTATGGGAGACACATTTTTTTAATCTGACCCGGTATTTTAACTGACCGAATATAAATCTGGATTTTTAAATAACTTATGTTATCCCCATTCTAGGTCTTCACCTTCAATTTCAGCTAAAACATTTGCATGAAAGAACCTGGAATATTTTCCTAATTTCCTTTGCCACGTTGGGCTATTTTGACACCTCAGTCTGTTTCATTACAGAGTAAACATGTTTGA